TAGATGAGCAATAGGATAACACTGTGCTCTTGTTATCACTTTGACTTTGTGATAATTATAACAAAATCTTTGTGGCCTGTCCAGTTATGACATCATCACAATAGGTGAGCTCTAGCTCCTCGGTTTAACAATGTGATTGTCTGTCATGAAATTCACCTCTTCACTCTCCTGAAGTAACTTCTCTGGACTGAGCCTGCAAGGATGTTGTTTTATGGGTAACATCTCCCCTATGTTAACACCAAAAAATTTTTTCTTGGCCTATTCAGACATATCAAATTATGAGTCTAATATCCGCTGTAGTCACTTTGATATGATTCTATCTTTGAGAAAAATATTGCAACTAAATATTTAAGTACCTCCATATTATCCAGTCTAATTACTGGAGGATCAACTTATGATTTTTCATTTCTGATTCATTCTTCAATTGTGCTGATATTTTTATTTTGCCTCCTACTCCTTTCACTGCTTAACTCTCCTCCCTGTCATATTCTCTTTTTAACAAATTAACATGACAAACACATAGAATTTTCTTCTTGTCTGGAGTATTCACTATGTAGTTCACATCACCGAGTTTCTTCTTGTTTTGCTAAGGCCCATTGAACGTTGCTTTTAATGGTTCCCCAGAAACAGATAATAACACTAACGCCTCACTCTCAGTAAAACAAAACTTAGCTTTGGCCTTTTTATCTGCTTGATTTTCAATGATTGTTAAATATTTTGCTAATTCACATGCTTTGGTTAGTTTTTCCTCAGTAACTTGAAACACAGGCTGGAAGTGTAGCCACTGAGATTTAGTTTATGACATTTCTCTTTGTTCAATTTAAGGACCCTCCCACCCTAATGTCCATGTGTCAATTCAAAAGGACTGTGCCCTTGCCTCTAATTGTTCCATTGTTTGTCCAACATCCATTATTAGATGGGCTGAAATTTACTCCAATTAACTATTGGGAAGAGCCAAAGTCCTTGCCACAAGCGATTTCCTATCTGATAATTCCATCCCTCTCAATGACTTCACTGTTTTATTAATAAGGTTGATTGCATATCCTCAATTTGATAAACAACTGAAGAATTGCCAAATTGTTTTTACAGGAAGCTTTAAAGAAGTACCTTCAAATTGAAAATGTTTCCAATTTCTACAGTAATTAAGTAAAGTACATTATACTATATTGGCATGAAACAGAAAACAAGCCGTTGTCTATAGCACTGCTGACAGCAAATTGAAACCGGCTTCAAATATTTCCAAACTTTTACAAAGATTGCAGATTGCAGAAATTTTTTTGGCTTGGATTATGCAATTTAGAAGTCCAATTCCGCTGGACAAGCAAACAGCATTTCTCACTGGAGCTTCAGTTCATTACATATCATTTGAGGTGCAAGAAGGATCGTCATGCACTAGTGCACAAGTCACAAAATGCTAGCATGCAGATACAACGAGCAATTAAGCAGGTTTATTAAATGTTATCTTTTATTATGACAGGAATTGAAACTGGGTATGGATGGTTTTAGTTAAAAAGAAAGGCTGGATAGGCTGGGACATATTTCATTGCACCATAGGAGGTTGCGAGGCAACCTTATTGAAGCTTATAAAATAATAAGAGGTACAGATAGAGTTAATGATAGTTGTTTTTTCCCTAGAATGCGGGATTTCAAGACTAGGGGGCACATTTTAAGGTGAGAGGAGAGAGATTGAGAGGCAAATTTTTTACACAAGGGTGATTCACATGTGGAATGAACTTCCCGAGCAAGTAATGGATGTGGGCATACTTAAAACGTTTAAAAGACATTTGGATAAGTAAATGAATAAGAAAGGTTTGGACAGATATGGCCAGGAGCAGGCACGTGGAACTACTTTAATTTGGGATTATGTTCGGCATGGAATAATTGGATCAAAGGGTCTGTTTCTGTGCTGAACTTCCGCTTCTATGACTATGGCATGCTTCAGTTACACAAGGGCATTAATGACACCACATCTTGAATACTGTACTCAGTATTCCTGTACTCCAGTACTGTACTCCTCCTTTTTAAGGAAGAATTTGAATACGTTGTGGTGCTTCAAAGGAGGTTTACCGAGATTGATACACGGAATAAGTAAGTTGTCTTATGAGGACAGGTTGGACAGGTGGCCTCATTTCCACTGGAGTTCAGAAAAGTGAGGAGTGACTTGATTGAAGTGAATGAGATACTGAATGTTCTTGACAACGTAGATATGGAAAGAATGATTTCTTTTTTTGGGCCAGATCAGAACTAGTAGGCACTATTTTAAAATTAGAGGTCACTCTCTTTTGACAAAGATGAGGAGTTTTCTTTTCTTTCTGAGAATTGTGCAACTTTGGAACTCTGCCTCAGAACATGGTGGGATATTCTGCAGGTAGAAGATTTTTGTTTGGCAGTGGAATCAAAGATTATCAAGACTAGATGGAAACATGTAACTCAAAAAACAGATACGCCATGATCTTATTGAATGGCAAAGCAGGCTTGAGGGGTTGAAAGCCTAGGTATTAGGCAAGAACTTTCAAAAGTTGATTGTGAGGGGTAGGGGATGTTTGCAGGTAAAGGGACAGCTGGAAAATGGGAAGCCTTCAAAAACCAGATAACGAGAGTCCAGAGACAGTATGTTCCTGTTAGGGTGAAGGGCAAGGCTGGTAGCTATCGGGAATGCTGGATGACTTGAGAAATTAAGATTTTGGTCAAGAATAGGAAGGGACGTATGTGTCAGGTATTGACAGCAGAGACTGAGTGAATCCCTAGATGAGTATAAAATCAGTAAGAGTATACTTAAGAGGGAAATCAGGAGGACAAAAAGGGGACATGAGATAGCTTTGGCAAATAGAGTTAATGAGAATGCAAAGGGATTCTACAAAATATATTAAGGACAAAATGGTAGCTAGCGAGAGAATAGGGACCCTTAAAAATCAACAAGGCCACCTATGTGCGGAACCGCAGCAGGTGGGGGAGCTACTAAATGGGTATTTGAGAAGGGTATGGAAGAATAAATAGTGTCATATTGCAAAATGCCCATATTACACAAGAGTTAGTGCTGGACCTCTTAAAATGCATAAATCCCCGGAATCTGATCAGGTGTACTCTAGAACTCCGAGAAGCTAGGGAAGTGATAGCTGGGCCCCTGTTGAGATATCTGTATCATCAATAGCCACAGATGAGGGGCTGGACGACTGGCGATGGGTTACGTGGTGCCACTATTCACGAAAGGTGGTAAGAGAAAGCCAGGGAACTATAGACCAGCGAGCCTGACATCGGTGGTGGGCAATTTGTTGGAGCAAAGCCTGAGGGATAGAGTTTACATGTATTTGGAAAGGCAAGGACTGATTAGAGATAGTCAACAAGGCTTTGTGTATGGGAAATCGGGTCTCACTAACTTGATTGAGTTTTTTGAAGAAGTAACAAAAAGAATTTATGAGGGCTAAGTGATGGATATGATCTATATGGACTTCAGCGAGGCGTTTGACAAGGTTCTGGATTGTAGACTGGTTAGCAAGGTTAGAGCACACAGAATACACGGAGAACCGGCCATTTGGATACAGAACTGGCTCAAAGGCAGAAGACAGAAGGTGGTGGTTGAGGTTTGCTTTTCAGACTGGAAGCCTGTGACCAGTGGTGTGCCACAAGGATTGGTGCAGGGCCCACTGCTTTTCGTCATTTATACAAATGATTTGGACGTGAACATATGAGGTATTGTTAGTAAGTTTGGAGGTGTAGTGGACAGGTTACCTCAAAGTGCAATGGGATCTTGATCAGATGGGCCAATGAGCCAAGGAGTGGCAGATGGACTTTAGTTCAGATAAATGTGAGGAGCTGCATTTTGGGAAGGCAAATTAGGGTAGGACTTATACACTTAATGGTAAGGTCCTTGGGAGTGTTGCTGAACAAAGAGACCTTAGACAGCAGGTTCATAGTTCCTTGAAAGTGGAGTTTCAGGTATATAGGATAGTGAAGAAGGCGTTTGGTATGCTTGCCTTTATTGGTCAATGCATGGAGTACAGGAGTTGGGAGGTCATATTGCTGCCATACAGGACATTGGTTAAGCCACTTTTGGAGTATTGTGTGCAATTCTGGTCTCCCTGTTATAGGAAGGATGTTGTAAAACGTGAAAGGGTTCAGAAAAGATTTACAAGGATGGTGCCAGGGTTGGAGGGTTTGAGTTAAAGGGAGAGGCTGAATAGGCTGGGACTACTTTCCTTGGAGCGGAGGAGGCTAAGGGGTGACCTTATAGAGGTTTATAAAATCACGAGGAGCATAGATAGGGTAAATAGCAAGGTCTTTTCCTTGGATTGGGGCAGTCAAAAACTAGAGGACATTAGTTTAAGGTGGGAGGGGAAATATTTAAAAGGGACCTAAGTGGCAACTTTTTCATGCAGAGGGTGGTGTGTGTACAGAATGAGCTTCTAGAGGAAATGGTGGAGGCTGGTACTTTTACAGCATTTAAAAGGCATCTGGATGGATGTATGAATAGGAAAGGTTTACAGGGATATGGGCCAAATGCCAGCAAATGGGACTAAATTTATTTAGGGTGTCCGGTCAGCATGAACGAGTTGGACCAAAGGGTCTGTTTTCGTGCTGTACTTATCTATGACTACTTCTGCTCCTAATTCGTATGCTCACATTACAGAAGTACAGATCAGTTAAATGAAACCTTTGCATTAACGCCACTAGATGGAGGTGGCGCACTAATTATCTGACTGCGCATTTCAACAAAATATTTACAAATTGCTGTAATCTTAAATAGTATATTTGTATACATTACTTCAATGACAATGCCCTGTTTCTGTGGGTTGTGCATATTTACACCTTGCCCACAGGCATTCCAAGATTCAGAAGAAACCAGTTTTGCTGCAATATCTGATTATTCCTCGGTGAAAGGAGTAACTTATTGTACATTTGAGTTGTAAAAATCTACAGCAAAGAGTAAAGGCCCCTCAGCCGATCGAGTCTGCGTCAGCCAAAAACAACCAACTAAGTAATGTAATGCCATTTTCCAGCAGTTAGATTTTAGATTTAGGTTTTATTGTCATGTGTACTCAAGTACCGGGTACAAGAATACACTGAAAAATGTACAATGTCGCCAACACATGGCAGCATCTTAGGTACAATGCGCCTAGGAACAAAATCTTAGCTGCAGAAGTAGAAAAATAAAGAAATAAGTTAAAAAGCTCAGCACTACAGTTTTCTTAGTAAAGAATTGGAAAATAAAGTTAAAAAGTCAAACATTGTAGTCCCTTCTTAAGCCACAAGCCTGCAGACACTCCAAGATAGGCTTTCCCCAACAGGACGTGCTCTTCCCTGCGTTGGGCTACGTACTGCCCGTGTTTGCCAGCTGCTCTCACTGCCGCTGCCAACCTCCATTGGCTGGGACCACTGCCTCGCTGCTCCCGCCATCCGGGCCCACACTGGGTCCTAGCCGCTGCCATGCTTTGTTGCTGCATTAGCTTCCTTGCTGCACAGTCCTGCTCTGGCACCACTCTAGACATTGATGAAGCTGTGATGCTGCCAACTGCAACTGGCTGCCTTGTGGCCAACCATCAAAGGCTCCCAACCACCGCTGTTGCTGGCTCCATGACCCCATGACCAAGCTGCAAAGATCAAAGAACCAAAATAAAAGTGACAAAAGAAAGAAAAAGACAGAAAAGAGTTCAGAACAGACAAGCTCTGGTGAGGAACCCTATTCTGTCGCCATCTTGGCCCATAGCCTTGTATGCCTTAGTATCAAACATCTAAATATTATGAGAGCTTCTGCCTCTAACCCTCTTACAGGCAATGAATTTTATATTCTCACCGCCCTCCAAATGAAAAAGCTTTTCATCACATCTCGTCTAAACTTTCTGCTCCATCCCTTAAATCTATGGCCCTGGAGGTGTTATTGATTCCTCCATCAAGGGGAAAAGTTTTTTCCTTTCTACCTGTGTATGCCCCTCATAATTTTATACATCTCTCAATCTCCCCTGCTCTAAGGAAAACAACCCAGACCGTTCAATCTCTCTTCATAACAAATTCCCAGTCCAGGCAACATCCTGGTAAATTTCCTCTACATCCTGTCCAATTATATCACAGTCCTCTTACAATGTGGATTCCAAAACTGCATACAATACTCCAGCTGTGGCCTAACTGACATGTTATACAGTTACAGCATAATGTTCCTGCTCTTGGACTAATCAAGGGACCCTCTGACAGGTCTGAGAAATGCATCAACAAAAGGCGTTCCATTCTATCCAAGTTCAGGTGGTATGAGACCACCAGAAAATATTATGAATGTTCAATTTTCAGGCGACTGACACAATGTTTAATCCTGAGGTGTCTTGCCTGACTCAGCTATTTCATCCTATTGGCCATGTGCATGGCTGCCTATATAGCGACAAAGCCTTTAACGACATGGCTCTTCATTCACCTGAGAAACCTATAGAATGGGACCGAGCAGCATTATCATGGGAGTCATATTCGGATATGGAACATTGCTGAAAATTCATGCTCACTGGAACATGTACCACAGGTCCTGGTTCTGACAGAGGGGCTATGGGAAAACAAGGGTACCGAAAGCTGCTCAGAATCCTTCATGCCCCTCCTTGACTGCCACAGTTTTACATACTCTTTCAGATAGCCCTGAGAAAAATACAACTGCTGGATTGCAGCAGCTGACCTCTCCAACCACCAGCATAGGGGTCCTATTTTGAGTGTACGGATCATATATACCATGGAGATCAGTGCTTATATTATGGACAGGCTGGTCCAGGCAACTAAATACATGGTATCAGCAAAACATGATGGATCTTCAGCATACACAAGACATAAAAATAAAGATGCCCTCCAACAGCTTCAATTATTTATTTTACATGACAGCTGCTTTTTGGTAAAAGCTTCATAGCACACTGAAAACACTTTTGTCAGCTCCCTCCCACCTAAAATCCACCTGTAGTCAGCTTATATCAAAGTAATGACATATCAGTTTCAAATGACTTATTGACTTTTCCTGCTGTAAGTGACAACATATTTTTCACTTTTGGGACTGTGAACTGAAAGGGTTGTTGGACCACAGTAACTAGAAGACCAGGAAAGTTTTGCAACTTGAAAGTCAAGTACTGCATATATTGTCGAATTGTGTGATACAATGTAATCATTTGAAGCAGTAAAAGGGAGAATTTGAGACTGAGGACACCTCAAGAATCTCCCAAAACTGCAGAGTATTAAAAAGCTGCAACTCCCGGGAGCCACGGAGGAGAAAAAATGTCTAGAGTCAGAAGAGAGAAAGCATCCATCTCTTCTCTCTCACTCAATGTGGGGAAAAGACTGAACAACAAAGAAAGCTTGGGAGAACAAATACAACAAGAAAAGACCTCAGTCCACCTGATCAGCCATTGATTCGAAGAATGACTATCACCTAAAGGCAACATTCTGTTAACACTGCAAAAATCAAAAGGACTGAGAGAAAATAACTTTACACCTTGTGTTCTGAATTTCTAGTCTTCAGAATTTTATTTAACCTGCCTACATTCTTTTTCCGACTACAGTTTATGTCTTAACCTTTTGTCTTTTGTTTATCTTGAGCATGACTGAGGTGTATTTGGAGACTGAAGCATATAGTTTAAATCACAGTTGTATATTAGAAATCATTTCATTTCATTGCTCTTGTTAAAGTTAAGTCATTTTCTGTTACTGATGAACCTGGTGTGAGCTGCTTTTATCCTGTGTAGCAGTCAGTCAGACAAATTGGTTATTTTGGTAGTTTCATTAGATATTATACATTTATACACTTTGCAGAACAGTGAGGCATGATTATCGGTGCACTCTTCCCAGATTATTGAAGGTAGCAGGTCAGGTGGAGAGAGTACTTAATAAAGCAAACAATGTCTTCAGCTTTATTAATACAGGCATAGAGTACAAAAGCAGGGAGGTGATATTGATCTTGTACAAGACACTCGTTAGAACTTAGCTGGAGTACTGTGTTCAATTGTAGACAACACATTATAGGAAAGATGGGAATGCATTGCAGACAGTGCAGAAGCCATTTATAAGAATGGTTCCAGGGACAAGAAACATCAGTTCTTAGGATAAATTGAAGAAATAGGGAGAAAGCCGCTGAGACGAGATGTGACAGAGGTTTTCAAAATAATGAGCAGCTGGATAGAGTGGATAGGTAGAATTTGTAAGCCTGTTTTTTCCGCTGAGTTTAGTCAGTATTTATCACATAAATACAGCAACTTCATCTCATCTCTTTTCCTGCAAATGTGCAGTGGCAGGAAGTTACTATACGATTTGCAGGTATTAATAGTAAGTGCTAACAGCCTCACCATTGTTTCTGGCACAAAATCTATTATTCAGACTTTTAAAAAATGGTCACAGTGTTTCCATTCATAAGAATGAGATGAGCAATACCATTTTGAAAAACTGAAAACAGGTACACAACAAACTAGAACAACTTAGATCTTGTGGTATTGCCAACATATTTTACTTCTAGTGTTTTCAGCCAGTTAACCCCAATGCCCTAGAAATCCTGCAAAGTAATTGGCTAGCTAAGATTAATATCTTTGATATTTCCATTCACATTCAATACTAATGTCAACTTTTTTTATATAATTTTCTTACTTTGACAAAGTAATTACTCAAAAGAATAATCGTTTTATTTTTGGTTCATATAAGTTCTGTTTATTGCATTTTTTGGCATTTGGAAATTTAGAAGAATTACCATTGTTCAAAGGTGCTTAAGTTAAAAGTTAGAAATGAATTTCCTATATCAACAATTATTAAATTGCAGTGTTAGGTGCTGTAGCTCCCTGTACACCAACATAATATTCTGAGGAATAGAAGGAAAGTAGATCATGATTAGTTTTCACTGTTACTAACACCAATATTTCCCTCCATGTATCTGTTTTAATCAATCTGTACATCCATTATTTGTTAATGTTTTCATACATTATTAAAGCAAGTGTGAGTTTGAGATCTCAAGTGGATTGTGAATGATGGATAGCTTCCTATAGGGTTGGATTTTTTTTGTAATATTAAATATTATTAAAATTAGAGGAACAATGACCTTGTACCACCATACTCTTAGCTGCTACCAGCGACTTACTGACAGCAGGTCAAGGGCCAGCCTTTCTTGACAGCGGAAGTAGGAATCATAAACAGGACAAAACCCCATAAAGTTCCACTGTCATTATGCAAAAGAAAAATTAATTTAGCCATCAAGTCCACACAAAAGTGCAGGGTACTAATAACGAAGCTGTTTTATGTTGACTTCCATAATTAAATTCACTTGCTCTCCAATAACTGACCGTGATTTTTTTATGTGGTGTCCAATAGAGATATGAAGATATGACAAATGTTAAAATGCTACTTTTTTTTGAAATGGAAAAAATAATTTTTACGGTGTCTGTCACTACATCATTTGGTTGTGACAACATCTGCTCCAGGCATCACAACTACTTGTGAAATTCAGAAGTGGTTTTGTTCGGGATGAATTGTCAAAAGAACAAAACCGTCTCACCGATCAGCAGATTTGACTTTCTACTTCAATCTGGACTATAGAGACATTGAAACTCAATGTCTTTTCTTGAATGGCATTCAAAAGGTAATTTGAATTGAAAGGGTTAAGGCAACCCTGCCTGTCTCAAATTGTTTAAAGGATGAAAGATGTGAGGTATTGTGCATGATTATACATAGTCCAGTTGCAGGCACTGCTCCCAGCCAGGTAAGGCTGCACTCTTATACCTGGGCTGTTTTTATGCTGCTTCTGGCTCTCAACTGCCTCTGGTCTGCTATCAGGTTGGAAGGCTTGTGATCCACTCCACTGGATTATCTAAATTAATTTAAAAGCACAATTTTTCCATTATGCAGCCTAGTCCTTGCCCTCATATAAAATTCCTTTTCCTGGGTGGTGACTATGCTGAGACACTATTTTTTTGGTATGGTATTCATATATTTATACAAACCCACACTCCCCTGATGGATACAGGTGAGAAAAAAAAACAACCTTGTCAACAAACTATAGCTAAATTCCCTAAATTTTAAGAAAGCGTAGAACATAAAACAATACAGGACACAAATAGGCCCTTTGGCCCACCATGTCTTTGCCAACAGTGATTAATCCCATCTGTCTGCACATTTTCTTTATTCTCTGCCTGTTCATGTGTCAATCTAAATGCCTGTTAAGACTTGTGAATATATCTGCTTTTACCACCTCCATGGTAGCGCATTCCAGGCACCAAATATCCTCTGTGTAAAAACTGTACCTCGCACATCTCCTTAAATTTTACTGTTCACACCTTAAACCTATGCCCCCTAATATTTGACATTTCTACCCTGGGAAAAAGACTCCAACTATCCATCCTATCCATGTCTCTCATAATTTTATATGCTTCTACCTCAGCATCCAAGGCTCCAGCGAAAACAATCCAAGTTTGTCCAACCTCTCATTATAGCTAATACACTCCAATTCAGGCAATATCCTGATAAACTTCTTTTGCATTCTCTCAAAAGCCGCCGCAGTCTTCCAATAGTGTGGTGACTAGAACCCAATGTAATACTGCAAACATAGCTTAACAAAAGTCTTGTACATCTGCAACAGAACTCACCAACTTTTATA